TCTGGCATTTGAAGTACGCATGTCTTAAAGCTGTCAAGTTACAAGACCTTTGCACCTCTAACCCTTTAGAAAAAAAAACCTCCTAGGGGTGTTCAAACTTGACAGCTTTAAGACTTGTGGACTTCAACTCCCAGAATTCCTCCTCCAGTCATGTTGGCTCAGGAACTCTGGCATTGAAGTGTGCAAGTCTTAAAGTTGTCAAGTTACAAGACCTTTGCACCCCTAACCTTTTAGAAAAAACCTTGGGTGTTCAAACTTGACAGCTTTAAGACTTGTGGACTTCAACTCCCAGAATTCCTCTTCTCGCTCTTCATCTTGATGATGTGTGGATGGGCGGGGCGGAGGAAGCTGGAACCGGTTCTAAACAGCACTGTAGATTTGTGGAACCTCTTCTATAGAAGAGGTTAGAACTGGCAGGAGCCCACCCCTTATCTAAACCCACAATCTCAGTGGGGAAAAAACAGATGTTGAAATCCTGATGCACACAGATCAGAGTAATGTCTCAAAGGACACACTATCCCGGCGGGTCCTCAACTGAGGGCCTTCTAAATGAGTTGGACTAAAATTCACTTAATTCCCCAGCCAGCCTCCTCTCTCTCTCCCACCACCCACCTCTCCCTCGCCTTCCCTGTCAATTCTAGATGGCCGTCCCAAATAAACATGAACAAAGCTGTAGAGCAACCCATTTGGAGAGCACCAGGTTGGGGAAGGCTGAACTGAGATACTGTGAACTTTCTGCTTGTCAAGTCCTAACAGTTGCAAAATCTGTTGCTGGCCCAAAGCATCCTGGCCTCCATACTGCAAATTCCCAATAGCAGGGATTGAGTCGATGAAGAGGAAAAGGAAACACGACCAGGGCTGAAGAGCAGCTGCTTCAGAGAATACCTTCACTTGCTTATCTCTCTGAAATCCTGGAGTGGCTGGTTGGGAGAGGGCAACATTTAATGATTGGGGGCGGGGACAGCAGGTGAGGTTCAGCGTCTGGGCACAGTATATAAGCTGTTGCCTGAAAGGAGGGAGAGGCGATGCCTTTGAGATCTGAGTCGCTTTGAGTTAAAGCAACAGCAGTCGAAAATTGGATGTCTTCAAAAGAGCCCAGGAATGACCTTTGCCCATGCAAGAGGCTGGATGACAAGAGAGAGACAGCAGGATGTTTCCCTATGGGGAGAATTTCATTAGGGGTGGAGGATTGCTGGGATCCAGACACTTGAAGCCTACTCCAGAGGCCATCGTGCAGGGATGAGAGTCCCCACCCTCAGACCCATACATGCCTGCCATGCTCAGTTTTTTTTTTAAAAAAATACCCTCTTCATACTCTTCACCTACAGTACAACCACTGCCATTCTTTGTTTAAAAAGGGGGGGGGGCAGAAAGTGGTGACAAGTTGCCTTGGCAGTCGCTTGGCTGGTTGGCAGTGAAAAGCCTTTCCTGGGCTGTTGGGCACGAGAGGGAATTGTTCGGGTGACCAGTCCCAGCGCTACGCATGGCCTTTTTGCCCACTTGCACTCAGGGATGGGAGGAAGTTATACAGGGGGAGAATGGGACGGGACGGGAAGGGAGGGTCTCAGTCTTTCATTCTCTCTGCAACTCAGGGATGGGGGCAGGCAGTGTGTACTGTGTGATGTCGACATCGTTGACTCGGTAACACTTGCATTTATCAGTATTAATATTATTACTAGTAGTATTGATGGTCGCATTCATGTCACACCCTTCTCGAGCTGGGGAGGGGCCCCCTCCCTGTGCGGATGGTGCTGAGTCGATGGTATCGAAGACTTTGGAGTAAACTGTGTTGAAAACCTGCCAGTTAAAAAATAGAAACAGAATTAAATATTATCCATTAATATTTCCTTGTTATTATTGTTGTATATTAATGATATATACAGGTGTGTTGTACTAGTAAAAGCAATTTGGACAGAAGCGTTAATTTGTGAGTTGGGGGGGGGGAAGAGAGGGAATGTTAGATATCCTACCAACTGACTTTCTTTTAGAATATGTTATAAAGATGTAAAGTTATGGTAGACTCATTGAGATTGCGAAATAAGCTAGTAGGTGGTTGTGTCTTATAGCAATAGCAACAGCAGTTAGACTTATATACTGCTTCATAGGGCTTTCAGCCCTCTCTAAGTGGTTTACAGAGTCAGCATATTGCCCCAAACAACAATCCAGGTCCTCATTTTACCCACCTCGGAAGGATGGAAGGCTGAGTCAACCCTGAGCCGGTGAAATTTGAACAGCCGAACTGCAGAACTGTGGTCAGCTGAAGTAGCCTGCAGTGCTGCATTTAACCACTGCGCCACCTCGGCTCTTCCAATGTAAATGATTTTAGATAAAAACACGTTTAAGTAATTGTAATTAAATGAAAATTGTGGTACTGTGATTGTAAAATACATAAACTCTAAAATGTACAACTCGATTTCAATGAAGTATATGTAAGGATTGTGGAAGAAACGCACAAAATGTATCTGTAACCAACTGACACGCTTTCTACAAGATGTAATGAAAGATGTTTTTTTTCCTTGTGTTTTTGTTTAATAAAAACAATAAAAAATCTTTAAAAAATAGAAACAGAATTAAAGCTGGAGGGA